AGACCAATAAACGCGCGTGATTTATTCAGGACGTACATTAAAATTCATAGCACAGAAATATATTGAATATATGCTAAATTGCAAATGCTCATCTATAATACGCGAACACTATTTTTGTTTCTTTATTGCAAGCAAGAAAGTAAAAAAAATATTTTATAATGTTTCCAATTCTTTAATTTTTATTGTAAACTATTTGAGTTTCTAAGAATTTTTTTTACGCTTGAGCGATATAAAAAATATAAAAAATAAAAGTTAAAGAAGAGAGGAGAGAAGTTATATACGAAAAGTCTTAAAAGTGAAAAAGAAATGATTAATTTGGGACCCAAAACAAATTGAGGCTGAAGAGAGGTAAGTTTCAGAGCCTTGGGCACCGATGTAACGGTCGGTGGCCTACTTCCTGTGTAGACGTATCACATCTTGGTTTACTCCAACTTCGATTCATATAACAGTACATTTATTCCGAGCCTTTTTCAATCAACATTATATATTGAGTTTGCAAATATCCTACACATTACCCAAAAATCCCAGTTGCTTCTTTGCAAAATTTTTAAAACCAATTTTTTTACACCTTTTCTATGAAAAGTTAAAAAATTAATTGTTAATTAATAATTATTTAATAATAATATAATAATTTAATTAATTTACGAATTAAATTGTTCAAAATATGAAAAATAAAATTTTAAATATACATTCTCATCATATATAAGAAAGTATTATTTTACCTTCACCTTTTTTTCTATTTCTTAAAATAGGATATAAAGTTTACTTTTCAATTTTATGCATAATTTTTATTTTCGAATATAAAAAATAAGTTATTATAAATTGGGAAATATGATTAAAAATTTAATAAATATGAAAAAAATTAAAAGATTAAAATTTGGATAAGAATTTGGTGGATCACTCACAATCTTTTAATATTGAAATGAGGAATTTAATATATAATATGAAAGTGCGGTATATATAAAACTTCTATAGGTTTATGTAAATAGTACTTTTGAGAATGTCATAAAATTTATCGAAATACATATCATAAATGGAGCTAGCACATAAATAATTTATAATAGTTAAAGAGTCTTATCTCAATTAAATGCAACTTGTATAATTTTAAAGACTCGCATATACAACTTAACATGTTTGATGACCGAAAATTTTTATAATAAATGTTATGACGATTTAAATGACGACTTAAAAACTTCAAAGATCTTATTAAAAAAAAAAACATTTCCGTCTATTTCGTCAAAATTTAAATAAAATGTAAAAATTAAATTTCAACACAATAAATTTAATGTTTAATTTTTAAAATTTTAAACAATGTAAAGTTTCAGTATAAATTATAAAATATAATTTCCTTGCAAAGTTCTTTTTAACGGATATAAAAAATTATATTAAATAATAATATAATGCCTTCTCATATATGATGAGAATATGTAAGAAATATTTCTGAATGCAATGTAATATATTTTAAAAAGAAGATGTCAAGAAGTTAAGAGGAAGCATTTGAGTTATAATTGGTTGTAGTTTGAGCATAAAAATATAAAGTGAATTAGTCTCGGCGCGACCTTTCAACTTTTTTGTATAAGAGCAACATGTATATAGTAATTTTTTTTTTTTTCTTTTAACTTCTATTTTCGCAGTCAACCAAAGAGGAGACAAATTCCGTTACATTCTCACTATATATACATGCATACAAAATAAATGCATATATGTAAATGAAACATATTCATACAGTTATGTCGTCTTATATGTGCAAGCATGCTGTCATCATTCTGCCGAAGGCAAATCGCCTTGCTTGGCAAATCCACCGGTAAAACGACTCAGGTGAACGTTGAAATTGGACGCGAATTCGAAGACTCGATTTTCAAGAATAAGATTATTATTTCATTGCGAAATGGCAAACATTAAGAATTTTTTTTTACATTTCTCCTGACTATGAGTTCATTATACTCTAATAGAGGCAAATATTTTTTTAAATTATTAATTTCTATATCGGAAAAAATTTAATTATATTTATTATATTTGTTTTTTCCTTATAACAATAATATTTGTAACTAATAATACAAATTAACAAGCCTTTTACTTTGAAGTGACAATAAGATCCTTATCCTTATAAAGTAAATCAAGGTTAAAATCGAGGTGATCCACAATGAAAGTTACTTTTATTAGGTCCGTCTTTTTCCGAGCTCACTTTTCAACTTATAATTTAAACACTGGCTAACATATTAAAATACAGAAAACATCAACTAAGATTTTAATATATATATAAACATCCTGGAATTTTGCTCATTTATATTTACGGAAATGATTCATTTCGCGAGTCAAGAATTTTTAGAAATCACTTTACCAAGTAAAAAGTAAACTAATTATTATTAATAATTAATTACTTTTCAGATATTTAAAAATTAATTACTTTTTAGTATTAAAATTATTACATAATAAATTAATAATTAGCTATGTTTATTAAAATGTTCTATATACTAAATTTAGAGTAAATAAAATTTTTACTGTTCTGACGCGGAAATAATTAATTATTATGTGAACCAGTGTTTAAAAACAAATTTGCAAGGAAGTTAATTGTTCATTTTAAACGCTTGCAAAATATTACAACAACTTTCTGAATTTAAAATAACGTTTCTTTATAAAGAAATTGATGAAGATATTATAAGATTTAAAACCTATTATCGCTAAAAAAAAATTGGTGCTATATTTATATGCGGTTAGTTCTCGTAAAAAAGGGAAAAGATTTTATAAATCTTGAAGATTTCTCGTATATATGTATTTTTGTAGAATCGAATGAAGAACAGCTGGGTCATGTGGGCAGCTGCTTCATCTGTTTCAAAAAGATTAAGGTGTATACTAACTCGAAAGAGCAATAATAGAAACAGGTAAGATGTTTTGAGACCCGTAGGGAACAAAAGAGAGTAAGCAGCAGGTCGTAGAACGTAAAAAACAGTTCTTGCAAAACCTATACAAAGACGATTTTGACCTTATACCTTCGTCTTGAACTGCATTGAGCACACCTAAAGTTACACAATACACGTCAAATAACAACAAAATCTAGGTTTTTATTAACGCGCGTTTAAAAAGTCCTATAAACATCACAAATAATGTTTTCTTAAACCCACATTTTATTGTTCAAAAACCTTGATTTTAATAACAATAAATATAACATTAAAACCGAAGAACTGAAGAAATAAATAACTGATGATATTATATCAGGATTTAAAACTCTTAATCCCCATACATAAAATTGCGGCGAAAAAAAAGAAATTAATATGTTTACTTATTGCTCGAAAGATCAGATTGAAAATTTCGAATGATTAAATTATTCACCATAAATGTACAAATAGACCGTTATGTCAATATCAATTTCATACTTGGAGAAGTTCATTCTCAAACATGTATATTCATAAATATATGAGAAAAAGAAGCTAAAGAGCCGAAGATAATAATATCTATGGGTATATAGTGTGTGCGTATAGAATCGAGACTATACCGCAGTTTCGCAGTTCATCGTTCCTGTCCCGTCATTAAAATCTCAAAAAAAAGAGAACATCATAAGAGTTCTCTGGAAGAAAAATAAATAAACTATCAGTGGTGGACCGCGAAGATGAACGTGACTTTCAGAAGTAGAAATGTGATTTCCATATTCTCATATACCTAACACATATATATAGAGGTTTAATCTTTACGCATCAATAGATTACTCGATTGTCGAAAAACACATAAAAATAATTCTTTGCTTGTAAATTACATAAAAAAAAGTATATAAAAAATTTTTTTTTATAGGTAATTTGTAGACTTCAAATTTATGTATTCTTTGATGTTTTCCGTACTAATGAAATTCGAATATTTTTCTCAATGATAATTTTATTTTAAGCATCTTTAAAAAGAGAAATAAGAATTTCAAGGCGAAAAATAAAATAATAATTTTTAATCAAGTAAAAAAATTGTATGTGTAAAAAAGTTAAAGAATAATAAAAATGTAGAAACATATATGTAGTCTTTCTTTTATATATATGCAAACATACAATTTTTTCGAATTATATTTAATTATTAAAGTACTTTACACGAGTATTAATATTCAAATATCATTCGTTGTCAGCAAAATATTAATGCTTACTTGTTACTTGCGTACAATTAAAAGAAAATTCATAATTTCGAAACCAATTCGCAGAAAGTTCAAATGATATCTTGGGGAGAATTATCAAATATCAGTTTAAAAAAGCTGACAATTTATTTCTTAACGAAAAGTATAATTCTCTTATTAATATTTTTTTAAAAAAATATTTCATCAAAAAATTAATTTTACTATTAATAATTAAAATTCAATATCAATTCTTTATAGCGAATTTTGTACTAAAAATATTTAAATTGAACCCTGCTATTTAGCAAGATTGGAGAAGAGAAAATTATAACACTTGGTTATTATATCTACAGAAAAAATAGAATATTAAAAAAAATCACAAACGACTTATATGAATTTATGTTGTGGTTTTCGAAATCGGCAATATATGAAATTACGATTTACGAGCTCACATACAATTTGCGTGTGGACGTCTGAAACCACGAGGATACCCGCCTCGTGGCAGTCGATGAATGATATAGTCGCTTAATAACACCGATCATCTCAAATCGGTATAGAGTCTGTAAGGCTTACAAATCAGATTCTACAGAAGATAGAAATTACAAAAGTAAAAACAAGAAATCATTAATGGTTTTCTGATCAAGATTATTATTGCTGACCTACACAGAATAGATTTGAATCATCAAAAAAATTATTCAGAATCACTTCTTAATGTGCCAAAAACAATATTAATTATTTAATAATAAATTTTGCTGAATTTGAAATTGTTTCGAAATTACAAAAATAAAGTGTTAAATTCCAATATATTACATACTAATTTAATAATTTACCAAACACATTAAAAATACCAGTCAGCGAAAAATATTGGTAAAAAAATTAAGTGAATTTCATAAACACAAATATTATGTCGACTCACCATTTTTTATGACACGTTCTAAAATCGCAAATTCTCCCTTTCCAACATATCCAAATGAAAACCACTTAAATTTTTTTTTATTTAATACAATAAAACTAAAGGTCACACACAAACAATAATAATTCTTTTCTAAGTAGTAAAAACAAAAGCACGTTATTTTAAATTTTTGCACTTGCGCTTCACACGTTAATCGCGAATATTCTGGCGCGAGCGCCCACACGATATTAAATTAAACATAACCCGAAATAAAAAAAATAAAATTTTTCCTTCTTGTCACAAAATCCACGTGATAACCATAAGAATCGTGTGTCGGCAAAATGATACTAAACACGAACCGGTCTCTCTCTCTCTCTCTTTTTTTTTTCTCTTTTGATCGTTATGCGCGCGAAGTTTTATCTTATTATCGATACAGATGTTCCTGAAGAATCCGGAATGTAAGGAATGAAGAGAAGAGCGAACCCCGAGAGGAAAACGACGACGGATTTTCAACCTGGCGAACACAAACTGAGCTCACGACCGGCAGGTAGGTGGCCAATTCCCCTCTCCACATACACACAAAGTCCGCTCACCGTTCCCCGTTCTCGAAACTTTTCCTTCACCGCCACGATTCGCCTTATTATATGTTGTTGCTTATTCTGTCTTCTTGATTCACTTCTCACACACAGTGGCGAGCCTCGGATCTAAAGCAAGGGGTGGGGTTACAACAGGTAAACCCACTGCAGAAAAGTGCAGTGTTGGGCGATACCTGAAAAGGTCACTCTACACTCCTTTTTACTCACGAGTTCAATTATACAAAAAAAGATGCACCACTTCCCTTTATAAGAATTACAACTCAGATGAATTATATAAATACACAAGTTACAATTTATATTTCATTTACTTCTTCCAAATAGTTTAATTTTCAATTAAAAAATCAATTAGAAAAAAGAAATAATTAAAATTACAAGGGGAAAAAAATTTTTAAACTGAAAAATTTGTATGGAAGATAAAGAAAGAAGAAACATTATTTAACTAATTTCAATCAAAGTTCAATTTCTAAATTAAAAAAAAAATGAAGACAGTAAAAAGAAACAAACCCCTGTTTAATTTAAAGAAAACAAAGATAAGAAAAGACAGAATAACAACAGAAAAAAACCACAATTTTAATTGAAGAAAATTAAGATAATTAGAAGAAAAAATCGAAAATTAGCAAGAAGAAACAAAAAATAATAAAATATTAGAATTTATAAATTTTGTTCCAAATTATAACAATCAATATCCCTAACAAAGATTTTTTTACGAATACAAATAATCAACAAAACACTAAAATTAAAATTTAGCTCAAGAAAATATCCAGGACAAACAGAAATTATGAGAGCAACATGAAATTGCTTTTTTCTCCTATTCATAAATCGAACGAATTTTTTGCTCTACCACTATCAATCGAAATAATAACTTTTAAACCATAATATTTTTACTTTTGAATCAAATTAATCGTATATATAAATTAATAATTTAAATTATAAATTAATAACATAAATCAACTTCAATTAACATCATAAATATATAACAATATTTTAAAAAATTTTAACAAACACCAAATTTTGGAGTTTTGCTAATAAATTTTATTAAAACTAATAAGTAAACAACATGAATTAAAAAATTCTTATATTTGCTTGTCAGGTAACTTCTCATATTACCTAAATTTCGGCTCGAGTTACTTTATCATGATCATCATCATCATCTTCATCATCATCATCATAACTATACTTTTCTTTTACTTCTTCTTTTATAAATTCTTTAAGATCTAATTTAAAGGCTTCGGTACTTGGCGAACATTTAATACAAATTCTAAAAAAGGAAAAAAATATATTAAATTTCTATTCAAAAATTGTTTGAAAAATCTTTCCAAGTGGGAGATTAAAGGTATACATATTTTAAATGAATATAAATTTTTAAAATATTTACCTCAAAATCATGGGTTCAGGTATTTTTGGTTTTCGAGTTAGTAGATCATCCAATAAGGTTTTAAAATTCTCTTTCAATTGTGGTGTAGTCATTTCAACCTATTAATTATACTGATTATAATAATGTATTCAAATTGAAGACTAAAATGTCTCCAAACGTCAAATGAAATAATTTTTCTATCATTTCTTTAAAGTTAAATTTTATTACAAAATATTGTTTCACGTATGAAAGAATAATTGATTAATTATTAAAAAAATTATTTCATTAAAACGTATTGCGAATTTAAGAGGCACATTTATATATTTTTAAAATGTATTTTTTTTTTCTTATTCTAAAGAATATTAAAGAAATATAAGTAATTATTTCTTGTTGGACTCACCGTTCCAAAAGGAACTTCGCAATAACCATAATCCGGATAATTCGAATTTGCTATACAAGTGTACCTAACACCATGCAAATGTTTATAAATAGTAGCATCAAGATCAGCTCCTAGTGTTCCTGAAATATTAAGTGTATAAAAATTAAAATCCAATTAAATAAATATAATTATTAATTATATTAATAAATATTGTTCTATTGACAAATTAAATTAATTTTAATAAAGCAGTAATAAATTTACTTCTTAAATTTTCCACTTAATAGATACCTTGTTTTAACGATGGAAATTTATTCTTTAAAATACCCTTAATGGTCAATAATTGTGGCAGTATTTGGGGATGAGCAATTATGTGATCATAATCAGAAACACTCATTTCTCCAATCTAAATAAAATAATCTGTTAATAAGTGTTTTTAAAGAAAATTGAAATATATAAATATATTAATAAAAAAATTAAATACCTTAATTAATCGAATAATTTCAGGTCCAGCTACATGTTGTGCACCTGCATTTTTAGCTATATCCTGTAATTCTGGTGTGCCTGCAATTACCATAATTGATTTTTGCCCATCTGAGTGAAACTTGTGAGGGATAGAAACCAAACTGTGAAACGTATTTAGCATTTTAGATTTACTTGGTCCCTGTAAAAAAATACATCATTAAAATTAATCTTGAAAGTATTATTAATTTATAAAGTACCTACGTCTTTACAGATTTATCTTATTATTGCAATTTTAGAAAAGTATCACTACCTTCATGTTCACTTCAAAAGCAGCTGTTAATTTTGCATCAGAAATATCATAAATAGTGGGATGAAAAACTTCACGATGACATTGTACAGCTTCTTCGAAGGTATATACTTTTGGACTATAGTATTTTTGTAACCATACATTGTCAGGAGACATTCGATGAGTATCCACCAAAGAAAATCTTATCGCGTCTGGAACATCTCCTTTTAATCTATAAAATAAAATTTAAATTATATTATTTACAACATTGTTCTAATAGTCAAAATAATTCGCATGTATATTACAATTTATAATATAAAAATAGGAACACTTACGTTTTCTTTTTTGGCTGTTTTAATTCCCTTGATCTTTTAGCAGTTATGTTTCTTAATTTTTGCTTTAATTTTTTTTCTCTTGTTCCCTTTCTCAGAGCATAATTTCGAGTTTGTAGAAAAGATCCACTATAAATACTGGGTTCTATGGTCACTTTAGACAATGAAAATAATGAACTTAAAAATCGGCCTAAAAACAAAAATTACATGTAATTATACAAATATTTGAAAATTTTTTTAAATCAAACATGTACACAGTATTTAATAATTTTGAGGTTATACATAAGATGTCATGCAAAATTTAGACTCAAAGAATGATTGCGACGAGTTATATATTATCAAAGGATTATTTTAAGAAATTTATTACCTTAATCAAGATTTTAGAAGCATAATTATTAAATAAAAAAAGGAAACATTACCTTCTAAAAACACCATGATGAACTGTCGTGATGTAAACACAAGTTTATAAATTCTCGTGGTGGGAATGATTCACTTTTTGAAGCAAACACTGTTTTCACAAACGGCCACCGAGGCAACTGGCGGGCGTTACAGTTGAACACTGTAACGCGTTACACGTATTACACTTAGCAAATAATTTGCTTAAATTTTCTTAAACAATTTTTTTTCGTAATGACCGAGCAAAATGTTAAAAAAATTAACATTCTGAGTTATTTCATACCCGCAAGTTTAAATTATTTTTAATTTAATTATAAATGCTAATAAATTTTCTGTGGGGACTAAATAAATGTCAAAAAATTGATTATAGGTAACATTGTACAAAAAAAATATCGCAGTTAAAAATGATATTAAATTTTAGAAAATATACAACCTGTAAGAAATGAAGAATTTACAAAAAATATTAATTTTATAATTATAAGAGTAATTTTAATTAAAATTCTTACCACGATGAGTCAACTGAAAAATAGAATCAAATTGGACATATACATAGAAATTAATTTGTACAATACAATATCAGTTTGATAAGAATTGGCAAATTACATTAAAGTATATAAAAAATAGTTAATAAATCATGTGAATTTGAATCAGCGAATAATATCGCTTATTCAAATTTACAAGAGAACAATATAGTGGCACAAGAAGTTAAAATTCATGCAAAAGAAATATACAACACATTCCAAAAAAAAAAACCGATTTCCCTACCTGTAGCTATATTTAAAGCGTAAAAAACTCACTCCTATAAAGCTGTTCCTACCTAGCTATATTTTTAAAAAATCCTATACTTTGTTACCACACCAACACACATACAACCCACGTGCAACAATAAAAACATCAACAAAAATATTAATAGTCTCATATAGTATTAAAAAATACTGCAGAAATATTATATATATATTTTATTATATACATCGTATTTATTTCTATATACGTGTAATAATAACAATATATATAAATACTACATTTTGTCAACGGTGTCACTATATTGTTAAATAAAAATTGACTCACCGATCGGCGAATCCCACGTCGGGGCAATAGTGACATCGCCGCTACACGAGCGTTTCAGGCCACTCCCGAAGATCCCTCTCTTCATCGCACTTCTGCTAAAGGTCGGGAGTATCGCAAAAAAAAATATTATAAAAAAAGTTGCATGCAGGGACCACTTTTCTTCCTCCACATCCTTCTTGTTCTTCAGGATGTTCTTTGGGAATGATCTGAAAAATAATTATTATTTATTAAAAAATCAAATTATACCATTAAATATTTTTAGATGCTGACAATTAATTATTGCACAAGGAGTATGTTATTGTCTAAAAAACATTTATGATTTAATTATTTATATTAAAATACTTACTGTTTTGCATTTTCGCGTCTCATGGCTAAAATACGATGACAGCTTTAAACAGCAGACAAATCTTCTCTCAGCTACAGGACCAACTGACTGAAAAATTTCAAAGAAATTGTAATAATTTATTATAGGTTATGTGTAAAATAAAATATTTTCAAATACTAAAATTTATGAAAACATTAATTAACATACATTGAACCGCGCTCAGCAATGCCCGATCTCCTCCAGGAGCTGCTCCGCAACAAACACCTCCCCCTCATGGAAAGAACGCCTGCAAATAGAAAAAAATACTTTTAATAAATTATATTAAAATCAATATTTTCCATATTTTAATAAAATAAAAAATTAAAAGTACTTACCGAAAAAAAATAATAGCAGTATATCATCTACGTGAACACCAAATTCGACAATTGGCAAAATGTCACATCAAAAATGTCTCGTCTCCTGGTGAAATCATCTTCGAAGTCTGTTCACTTAAGTCCCCTTTTAGTTTCATCACTTTCTGATTTTTATTTCACAGGCAGTCAATTTTGACAAATCTTTTTTTGCTCAACTCTCTATAGTCATCAAGAGCTATAAAAATACAAAAAAAAGAATAATTAGTATTCATTAAATTCGACAATTTAGAAAAAATATTGGTATTTTCGAACTAATTTTCTGTATGTTCAGTTTCAAAATAAAAAACTTTTTCCATGTCTGATAATTGAACAACAATAAAAGACGAAAAACAAAACACTTATACTCACCAAAAACTTCTAGCTTCCTGGATAAAACATCTTCGGAGACAGTTCTGAAGTTCACATCATTTCACCACCAGAGACAAAGAAAGTTTTACCCGATCTGACATGATCGGTTTTGAGCATCCTTTCAATTCCACATATAGTCAAATTTGATCTTAACCCCTTCAGCTTCCACACCACAAAGTACAAGAATCTGTAAAAAAAACGATTAAAATACGTATATACTTTGTTGGTATTGGCTATTTGTTCCATCTTTGGAACCAGAGGCCATTTAAACAAAAGAAAGAAAGAAAGATATTTTGTCAATTTCGAACAAAGAATGAAAATTTGTAACTAAGTTTTCTTTACTCATTATTTTTACAAAGAAACAAAATGGCTTCCGTCCAATGTTGACATGAAAATTTTATTTTTTCCTTTTTCGATGTTATTACTTGTTATTTACAAAACTTTATTTAATTAATTAATGCCCCTAATAAGTACAATAACTTGAAGCAAAGAGTTGATAAAAAATCTCAAAAATATTACCAAAAAACTTACCGAAATTGTTGCCAAAGATGATGAACGACACGATTGTTGTAACAAATTGCGCCAAAATTGCAGAATAAACGGCTTTGTTTCTCCCTATCTTTTTATTGGTTAATAATTAGCTGATAAAGCTTCTTTTGTCAAACTGTTTTTTATTGGAGAATCTCTCTTAATTTCAACCAATCAGAAGCGAGAAAATTTTTGTCCACCAATCAGATATATTTATCGCTACGTGATGCCTTTAGAAAATTTTCTACATCTTTGCATATATATGACATATTTATTGAAATTTTATTATTTTCTTTTAAATTAAAAAATTACGAATTCTGATCTTTCAATATCTTTATCAAAATAGACTATGGCGAATAATACTAACAAATTTTTATTAAATTGAAATTTGTCGGAACGTGTCGAAACGTGTCTAAACTTGCTGATTGAAGTTATCATTTCAAATTTATGGGATTTTCCAAACAATATTTTCAACTTCCTCTTCTGTTCTTGATAAGAATAAGTAACGTGATTCGAATATATACACTTTAAATTATAACAATTATTTAACAAAACACAAAAGAATCATTTCACTCTTGACAAAAAATTTTCACGAACAATAATTAAATAAGATAAGAAAGGAATCTTCCTATTCAATTAGGACATTGTTCGGTGTCGCCTCTTTCGGCGAAAAATGAAACTAATCAGTAACATGGGCCAATGGCTGCGCCATTGTATTGTATAGTAAAGTCTTGACAAGAAATGTTACCGGAAAAACAAGAAAAGAGGTGAGGTCCAAAATACAAAGACGAACATCTTTTTAAAGACATTTTTTTTATTATTAATTGTGCACTTTATTACTATAAATTAATTATCAAAAGTTTCAGATTAAAATATTGTGAAGCGATTCTTTTAAACAAAAAAGACAATTAGTGGTTCATCGCTTGGAATTTTGGCCCGTCACGCCAAAATTTTGCCAAAGTAAAAATAACTTTGCTTATCGAGAGCTTCACTGTGCTTTACTGTGACGTTTGTGTAGTGAGATCACCATGCGATCATTATGACAGATCACTGTTCACGTCGTCTGAAGGATATCGCCTTTTGTCGAACAATCTCTTCTAGACGACTCCAAAAGGTGGTTTCAACTTTGCGCAATCATGAGAGTGGACTGATTTTCCGAGCCAAAAGTGCCTCGTAAACGAGAAAACAGTTAAATATCAATATTTCGATCAAGTGTCATATAAGCAGTAACCATGAAGAAACAATTTTTTCGAGTAAAACAACTAGCCGATCAGACTTTTTCCAGGTAATTACTCATAATAATCAAGGCCACATTTCCTTTTAACTATCATTACTCCTTTTTTAGTTTTGTTAGAAGTGCTTGTTTAAATACATTAGATACTTTGATAATTTTAAAATTCCTGCTTTTTTCCTTGTTTAAATCTTTAATTTTCCAATAATAATAATATAAATTGACTATAGAACTGTATAATTAAGAAGTGACAACTATTGTAAAAATAATATTTCACATCCGTATATTGGCATTACATTGTTCTGTTAATTTTAATAATTAACTTTTATTATAATTATATATGATGGATAAATTTTATCTTTATTAAATATTTTTATTATTCCTTTTACTTAACCTACATTGACTTGTAAACAAATGTTATTTTTAAATTTGTCACGTTTTCTTATGTTATATATTAATAATTATAATTTATTCTATTTGCTTTAATTTAGAGCAATATTAAAACTTTGACAATGACTGATTTAAAAATGAAACAATCATATTCAATTTATTGAAATCAAAGTTCATTGAGTGATAATTTTAAAATGGAATTTTATTTTTACATTTCACGACAATGTTATAATTAATACATTAAAGATCTTATATTGTTGAATACAGTAAACAGTTTACTGTTTAGTAATTTGATTCAAGTTTTTTTAAGATCTGATAAATCTGTTTGTTTGTTGCTTTTTTTGTTAAAAAAATTTAAGGGAATTGAACAATGTAAAAGATTTGGAATTATAATTTTTTTTATTTTTGGAAGTTAGTATATATATATTTCAAAAATTTGAATGAAAGGTTAATGTCTTCAAGGATGGAAATAAACTAGAAGATAAGAATAGACAAACGAATGTATATAGATCACATTTCTTATAATGTTACAAATATGCGCTATATTTTTTGGTTTTTAATTAATCCTAATCAATTTAGCCCGTATGTAATGATTATTTTATTTTTAACTGCAGTTTCATTAAGTTGAAAATGCATTTGAAATCTTAAAACGAACGCTTATTATTTACTGACACTATACACCAACGATAATCCAATTAATCTATATGAATGTAAGAAGATAGTAAATAAAATTGACTTAAAGTCACTTTATCAACAATAATATGATACGATTTTTTTTATTCTATCGGCAGAAACGGAAAACTAATACGTATCTCTATTAACTTTTAATATTTTATAAAATTAATATTTTAATGACTAAAATCAACGTGTAACTATTATCTAGAACTTGTAATTTGTAATAATTATTATGTTTTACGGATACTAAAAATTAGAAATAAAAAATAAATTAAAATTTTTTAAAAGCACTTTTATAAAATTTTTAAATAAATATTTTAAATTTTACAAGATGCTGTAAATATATTTAAACATAGCAAAATTGTGACTATCTATCGTGTATGTCAAATTATCGGAACGATTGCGATAAAAAAAATGATAAGTAGCAAACAGTATGAAACAGATACAGGCTACATTTTTGTCGATTTATTTATTTAATTACTAATAAAAAAGATAAACATTTCAACCTTAAAAGGGGTTTGAATTTTTTAAAATATTTATGTCCTATTAACACAATTTAAATATTGAAACATTCGAGAATAATTTTTTAATTATTACCAATTTTTATCAGATTAATGAAAATTTCTATTTTTTTAAAGAACTATTTATTTATTTTTAAAAATGTTTATCGTAAATTTTCAGAGCTGGAAAAACTGAGGTATTAACCGATGATTTGCAAGCAGCGGACAAACATGTGGAACAAATCAGAGGAGCTCTTAATGGACTAAGTAAACGATTTGGAAATTTACCAAACCAAGCAGTGGCTCAAGATTGTGTTTATAAAGAAAAACGTCTGGTTTGTGGATATTTTTTTAAATTTACTTGCTTTTAATTATTTGTTTTATAAATTTAATTTATTATTAAAAAAATATTTGCAGAAAAAATGTCCAGAATGGGTGCTAGGACAAACAATGCTAGAGGGTACTGGCGACGAGACTCTTCTCAGTTTTGTAATGTCGGAATGTGGACGGGCGCAAGTTGCATTAGCCACTGAAACTGTTGAACATGAATCTAAAGTGGAGCAATATGTTGCCGCTCCGCTTTTGCGCATTTTGGAAACAGATGTGCCAAATATTTTAAAATTTAAAAGAAATTTACAGCGTTTGACTTTGGATATGGATAGTGCTAGGACGCGATATCATCAAGCAAGTAAACATAATGCCAGTGGTAAGTTTCTCGTATTTTGTGGAATAACATTTTTAATTTAATATACTTGTAAAATTTTTAGTTAAAAAATGTTTGCAAAAATGAATTTTTATATTGTTTTTAATTTTTAAAATACACAAATTCACAGGAACGGGAGCAACGAAAGTTGATAGCCTAAAAGATGAATTGGAGGAAGCTGAGGCAAAAGTTGAACAATGTCGAGATCACCTTGCAGCTGAAATGTTTCAGTTGATGTCTAGAGAAACTGAACTTGCCCAAATTATCATTCAATACGTAAAATTACAACGTGCATATCACGAAAGTATGTTGCACTGTTTGGAAGATCTTATTCCAGGTCTTGAGTGTTACATTAGTAAGTTTGTCAAAATCAGATAATTGAAGTTTTAATCTTATATTAGATTTGAATCGAGAAATAAAACAAAAAATTAAATTAAAAAGAGGAATATTATTTTTTATATTTCAGATAACAACGAAATGAAACCCGTTTATGGTTATTCCTTAGAGGAACATTTGCGAGTTACAAATAGAAAAATAGCGTTGCCTATTCAACTTTGCGTCTCGGCGTTGCTAAGGCTGGGAATGGAAGAAGAAGGGCTTTTTCGAATAGCAGGTGGAGCATCGAAACTTCGACGAATTAAACTCAGTTTAGATGCTTGTTGTCTTAACTTGCCAACTGCTCTCGAGTACAAGGATCCACATGTGATCGCTGGAGCTCTAAAATCTTACCTAAGAGAGTTACCTGTACCTTTACTTACCTTCGAGTGAGTATTTCCGTGACATATTCTCATTTAAACAATAGTTTTGAAATAGAAAAGTTATAATTTTTTATTGAAAAATATTAATTACGATTATAATATTAATTTAACATTGGATTTTTCATAATCTGGTATTCAATTTAATTTAAAAAATTAAAATTGAAAATCATTTTATTATAATAAGAAATGATGTTCTCGAGAAATTTTTCGCCATATAATATATACATTACAAAATGAAAGTGCAAACTAGCTCGAGAGACAAGGCGCAAATTCAATTGAAATGTCCTTGATAGTGATTTAGTAGTTTGCTCAACTACCCAATCCAATGTATTTACGTTTTAAGCGCAACTAATTTAATTTAGAGTAATAACTGTTTTTTCATTTTATTTCACACCGCAATGCAGTAAAGAATTTTTTTTAACAAATTTTAATTTTTCTTAATTGACAAATACTTTTAAAAACTTTTAACATATATTTTTTAATAGGAGTCAACATTTTTTTTGGTCAAACCATTTTCTTTCAATGCTAATATATTTTGAAATATGAGTTTTTTATTTATTGCCGAAAATATGAGTTAATGAAAAAAAATTTATACATTAAATATTTTCAGTTTGTATCCCGAATGGATGGCAGCTGCTAAAGTTGTTCAAAACGAAGCAAGGCTGAAAGCTCTCTGGGAGGTGCTACATAAGTTACCGCCGGCAAATTTAGAAAATTTAAGGTTCCTAATAAAATTTTTAGCGATGCTGACCAAAAATCAAGATATTAATAAAATGACTCCTCACAATATTGCCATTGTCATAGCTCCAAATCTTATCTGGAGTCCTCCTGAGGATTTAAATCCCATGGCGTAAGTCACAATTTTTATACATATATTAAATTAATTCCAGATTTAATGGAATATTAATTACTTGAAATAATTAATCTTTTACAGAATGGAGATGAGTACAGCTAACAATTCTAGTCTTATAGTAGATCAGCTGGTGACGTATGCCGATTGGTTTTTCCCTGGCGAAATAGATTTTGATCGCGATTTAGATGTAGGAATTGTAAATGGTTCAGAGAATCAAGTTGTTGGTATGAGACGTTGTATGTCGAATAGCAGTCTCAGTGATTTGGGAGAAAGTCCACCGCAAGGAAGTCCAAAGCCCGCGACTCGTCGAAAAAATAAACCGGCACCAATTCCACCACCACCATCTTCCACACCAGATAAACACGAGAGAAAACCTGACGATAAACCACCACCTGCACCCGATAAACCTCCAAGACCACTCGCAACAGCAACATTAAATCGTGTGACTTACAAAGCACAAAAACACGAAGTGAACGCCGAATTGATAAATCCATCCATTAGAAATGCGGAAAAAATTGAGAAAAATTCCGAGCGCAATGTTAATAAATCCATAAACTGTGATGTATCGACAAAACCTGTTGTTGCTAATCAAACGGAAAATATCGTCGAATCGCGTAAGGAACAACAACAACAGGAAACAATAATTGCAAAATCGAATTTTAATCAGACTGAGCAGAAAAATACTGAAGAATTGAAAAGTGTTCTGCCCATAGGTTTTGAGGGTCTCGTTAAATCAGAACTTGATGTCAATAACAAAGCTAATGTTGAGTCTGAAAATTTAGATAATAATTCACCGAAAGTGAAATCGATGCCTAGTGAAAAAACTTGTCCAACAACTCAAGAAAGGCGGCCCATTCCTGTAGCAGCGCCGAGAAGCATTACAAATATATCGTTACAAATTACAGGTATGTAAATTAGAAACTTTTATTTTATAAACAAATTGAAAGATTTTTGTAAAAATTCATTGATGATTTTGTTTGCCAATAAAGATGATACTGTGGAACTGAGAAGAAAACCTGAGATTTCAACAGGATCGGAGAAAAATCACAAACCTGCCATTCCAGAAAGACCAGCTGGTTTAGCACGACCTTCAAGTCTCATAAGGCCACAACCACGTCACAGCAATGAAAATTTGGATAACGAATCAGGGGTGAGTATTTTAAATCCTTGAACAGACTCGATAAATTTTTTTTTCCAATATTTTTAATGTATATAAATTTTTAATTACATAAGAGTAATTTGTTTATGTTATACAAATTTACTGCGTTCTTTCCACTAATGACGTAACAAAAATAATTATAATATAATTTAACAAACAAAATAATAATATGTACAAAACAAAATATTTAAATACATTGTTATAACAAAATCTATGAGTCACTACTGTTTTATAGAATGGTCTGATATAATATAATATAAATTATAAAAAGTTATAAATAAATAAATTGTGATAGCATACTATCATAAATAACAGAGAAACAAATCTCTATCAATCTCCGTTAATTAAAAACAAAATAAAAATTAAATTTAATGTTTCGTTTTCACTAAATTAATAAAAAAAAAAAAATTATTTAATAATTGATACTAAAATATAACAATTTTTTATTGCTTTGATTGCTGTGAATATAAAAACTGGCATTTAAATTTCTCTAATATATATGCTTATTAGAAAACTTTGCATTTTAATAATATTCTATAAATAAGACATACAAAACATCAGTAATCTTGATAGTTCTTGGAGAATTTGATCGATAACGAAATCTAGCACGTGGAGGAACCTTGCTATTCGCTTCCACAGCGATCTTATGGCTTTACGATCTTTCTTTATCTTGAGAACAATTGAATGGTGAATACGAAAGAAAAAGGTAAAAACAATCATTTTCCGCATCGTCGCTTCGAACATCTTGATTACAGCATGTATTCACTGTCATCAACAAAGCAAAGCATATAATACTAATTTCCTTATACCATTAAAAACTTTATGAATTATTTATTCACTATTCAAATCAATTCACTCTTAAGACGATTTCCCATCAGGTGACACATTATTATTTTTTTTTCAACTGCAAACATTTAATTGCGTATAGGTGGCTCATAATTTTTATTTAATTCGATTAATAATAGTTTTTCTTTTATTCTACAGCTGCTCACCTTGGAACGAGCGCACATGTATTCGGTGGATAAACAACAGGTCAGTATAATTCAAGTGCGTGGCAACAACAATGCATTTCATACGGGCCAAAGCAATGGAAATACGGGTTCCAACTTGCAGAGAAGTCCCAGTGTCGGTAGCCGACCATCGTCCATGTCTCTGTCATGCGATCGTCCGGAAAAACCACCACGACCCGATGTCCCGGAACCAACCAAGGCACACACGAGAACGAGATCTGAGGGTAACATCATTGATGTTCAAACACAGACTGATACGATTATTGTCTCTAAATCGCAACAACAACCCTCGCCAGCTTCCCCAAGGTTTCTACAACGACCGCCAAGACCTCAACCTCCACCACCTCCACCTCCAACTGCTCGGGCCAAATCTGAGCAGGAAAGTACCAATTTGTAGAATATTCATACATTGCTAGTAATTTTAGATTTTTTAAAATACTTGTTTTTTATACCAAGCAAGTCAACCCACAGAGAAAACGTTAAGAAGCAATTGCGCAAACTTTTGTTTTCAATTTTGCGATTATTTCTTACAACTTCTACTTTTTCTATTGTTCTGATTAGTGAATTCAAATTTTTTCATCATTATTTAAAATTTTCAAACATGGAAATTAGAATTAATGACAATTTGAAAACTTTATCTTTAGCAATAAAAAAAAATAGTAAAATAGCACAAAATAATTTTAAAGAGTACAAAATAGTTAAAAAAAATAAAATCATTTTATCTACAAAATATTTATACAATGAAAATAACAATAAATTTGAATTTAATCGAAACAATAGATAAATTAGAATTATGATAGGTAATCATATGCACCATAATTTTTCATTATTTCAACTCTTGTTTATCTAGAGTTGAAAATAAAAAAAAAATACTGGAGTTAATGCGCTTAACCTTCGAGCCTTTATCTTACCCATTTATAACCGTTTAACAATTAGACTGTGATGTGACAATGGCAGAAGGAAAAATTCAAAAGCAAAAACATACGAATTGCAATTTTTAATTTTGGTTTTCTTTCTGTTTTGCCATTGTTAGAACTTTTTTTTCTTTAATGAGATGATTTTTCATAGTATTCTGTATCCTTTTTTTTTTACTATTTAGAACTGAATAGATGTGAAAATATGTTTTTGTGATTTAGAAAGATTTTTAGTTTCAAAATGAGTATTTTTTCATTTCTTATATTTAAAAAAAGAATAAAGATAAGAAAGGCTCAATACAAGTTAGGAATACCCTAAAATGTTGATTTATTAATAAGATGTAATGGAAAATCTTTTTGCTAAGAATCATAAAATGCCTAAAATCTAAAATAATATTTTTTAAATACAAATATTTTGATTTAAAAATTTCTTGTTTGATATTAAATATAATTTGATTTTTTTGTTTTGTTTTTTTTTAATGTCGCGTTGGGAATGTATAGCAAAAATTGCTTCTTTACAGTAATTTGTAATCAAATGAAATTCATAGGATTACAGTGTAGTTTTTAAAAAACTTTTTCAATGCCAAGTATTTTTCTAGCGTCGCAGTTTTTCAATATAGTAAAATTAAGCAACTAGATACAGACGAAGGATATTTTTATCTTATTAATATTTTCAAACGTGTTTTTATAAAGCGCACAACATTTCCATGTGCTCATAAGATGTTTAATATTTTCAACGAAAGTCTTGTAGAGATAAACAATAGGAGATTGACATTTTGTTTTAAATCTGTTAATTAATTACTCCGAATTGAAAATACAAAACTATTAGTCAGATTAATTAACAGATCGACAATTTTTTTTTTTCATAAGATTGTAGTTTTTATGAGAAAAAAAGCGAGTCAATTAGGTTTTTACGAAATCTTATTTGTAAATACTTATCATTTTAACCAACATATTAATATAAAAAAACAACTTATACCGCGATTACATATTATAAAAAAATTTTCATAGGACCCCGTAATGTTATAAGTTTTGTTTATCAATTGTAATATTTGTATCTACAGGGATATATTTTGAGCGAAAGAGAGTGAGTGAGTGAGAGAAAGAAAAAAAGAAAAATGATAGGAAATATTAGTTGTAATTGTTTTTAAACATGTCACTTATAAAGTAGACGTTTTTTTTTGTTAAAATCTCTCATTTCACAAAGAGGCATTATTAACTTTTTACGTTTTCAAAACTATAAACTAAGGTTTTTATTATTTTACAACTAAATACAAATTTTTAATTGTTATAAATTAATCATTAGTATTAATATAGGCAGCTTATGTGTTTATTCAAGTTAAAAAATTTTGTTACAATTATTAGATATCTTTTATTGGCGTCTTTTTTGCTTAGTATTCAAAAAATGAAAAAAATCTATGAGTATTATTTGGAACATGGAAAAAATAGGGGAAATTTAAGACTAAGAAAATCCAAAAATGGTGATAAGGCCGTTAAACGGTATAATAATATAAATTATATTCGGAACTCAGAAAAATTCAGATAAGAGTTTTAGAAAAAAAAATATTAAACAAATTTTTGATCTTGTTATTAAATCGTTTTTACTAAGGAACCTTATAATTAAAAATAATGCATATAGGTTGATGAAAACTAAAAAATTATTTTTGGCATATCTAGAATTAAATTTTTAAAAAAGTTAAAAAGAATTTAATTGTAAAATAGAAAAGTTTAAAATACTTTTTCTTGTGTGACTGTTTAAAAAAAAGAAGAATTATTTTAGGTGAATTTGGCAACAAATATTTTTATTTTATCAAGGCACTTTAAAATTATTTACATATTTATTCTTAATTTTTTTTTAACTTGTCCGCAATACATTTTTATCGATTAAGAATAATTCAAAATAATTTTTTCATTAGAATTATTTTTGCCAATTTGCTTTTCGTCCTTGCCAGACTTTTAAAAATGTATAGTAAATTTAAGAAACAAGCCATGATATCAACACATTACTTTGTTAACAAAAAGTATATTACATTTTTTTGGAAATATTCGCCAACCCCGTTGCCTTTATATAGTAATTAGAAACAATCGTTTTTAAATTAAAAAAAATTAAGACAATCATAAAAAAATTTCGATTTTATATAAAAATTCCAACATTCTCTTAATTAACTTTTTCATGTTAGTTTTGAATTTTTTTAAGTCAGTTAAGTTTTTCAAGTTCTCTTGAAAACTCAAAGTCTTTCCCTAAAATTACAAATATAAATATAGTATACCATTTAATTGCAATAGAATATTAAAACTAAAAAAGAAATAATTCATTAGCAATATTTGAGTTTTAGAAAAAATTCAAGTTTTTTCTAGATAAATGAATCGAAATATTATTTTGAATGCTGTATGTTTTTATCTCATTCCAATAAAATTAATATGTTCATCAACATAAAAATAAAACTCAAAGACAATGTACCCGTCAGTAATTTTTATGACAGGTAATTCTTTAATATATCACTCATAAAAATTTTATATCTACCATAAACGCACTATTTCGCGTTGCCTTTTATATATTAAAAAAAAGTAAAGATTTGCCGTCTCCAAACATTAAACCTCAATAACTGCTAACTGAGCATGCATTTACCTAAGGAAAGCTTAGGCTGTGAGTACAGTGGAGTATTAAAACATGTATTTGTATATAAATAAAATGTTTTATGACAATGATAGACGTTAATTTTTCAGCCTTTTGAATAAAAATTTGATATTAATTATAAAATATTCTTTGCTCCAAAAAAATTCGACTAATTGTAAATATTAATAGAAAACTTAATTCAATTAATAAATTCAGGTTATATTTTAGAATACTTTTATTACACCCAAACAAGTATACAATTCGTGTACTTATAAGATATTAAAACATTGGTAAAGTATGTTCATCAGCTATTTCTTTAGGCGTCAAGCCATCGTTGTCTTGTAAATTCTCGGCTCCTTTAGATAATAGATATTTGCAAGCCTCAATATGACCGCACGATGCAACATAATGCAATGGTGTCTGTCCATCTTGATCTTTAACATTAATATCAGCACCCGCTTCAACGAGACACTTAATTGTCGGAACATGTCCTCTGTCAGCTGCCCAATGCAATGGATACATACCATTTTCATCATCTTGCAAAATACATTTGGAATTTTGTGATAAAATTTCAGCAACTTTCACCTCATTTCCATCTTTTACCCAATCAAAAAATGTTTTATCAATGTCACGTAATTCTTCATCGGTATTAGGTAATCTACTAACTGCTACCCATGCTTGTGAATTATCATTTGATTTTTCCTCCCAATCGGGATCAATTTTTCCAACAGCACGAATATAACTTGCCATCGCAACTTCACGGCTCATTTCACCCAAAGATTGCCATGCTTCCCATTTATGTTTCGCTTGCATTTGATACCAACTTGGTTTTGGTGTGTCACATGAACCGCATGTTGCTTGTTTATAAAGTCCATAAAATCCAAGAAGCTGACCGGAATCCAATTGTGAAACGAGACTTTGTAAATGACGTGCTGCCTTATCGAACGTCTCCTCGAGATCTGATGATTTGAAAATATCTCCTTCAGCCATTGCAAATATTTTTTTTTGTAACTGTCTAATTGTTATCAAACATTAATCTCATACTTTTTGAATAGAAGTTATGCTTATCATTCATTGCATTATTTCGACTTTCTTCTTTTTCGAATACTATCACTGCCTTACCTAGTGGCAAACCGTTGTAAACATTATAAAATTGATTTATTTTCACAATTTGGCCATACTTTGAGAAATAATTTAATAATTCCAAGTTTGTCACTGTCCAGGTAAGTCTTCTTAGGAACAACGTTGACATTATCGATAATTCAAGAAACTTTTCGAATATCAAGTAATTGAATGGTGTGATCTTGCATTAATTCGTGAATACTTATATCGGCATCGGCAGCCAAATCAGTGAGAGGAATTTGTGAACAAGTTAAACCCCACTTGCTCAATAGGTGCTCAATAGACCAATCGGCACTGCGTTCTTGATAGGTGCACAAAAATTTAGCCGATGGATTTCTCTCTAGTAGAAATGAAACAGTGACGACGATATCTTCAAAAACTGATGGCTCGTAAAAACAATCAGATCCTAGAATAAGATCAAGTGGACCAAGAGTAAAGAGGCTTGATAAGAAGAGACCCCACGTGATACCAACAATTTTCACTTGTGACGATACACCGTTTAATTCGCAACTTCGACGAATGTGTTGTAAACTTTTTGGAAGATTCGCTGCGTCACTCAATGTCACATTAGCTCCACACTTGCTGGCAACAATACCCGGCAGTGCCGTTCCTGATCCAAGTTCCAAAACTCTCTTGCCTTTCAGATCCTTTCGATTCTCCCAAAGAAACCAAGCTAATACTGGTGCTGAGGGCCAAGTATAAAAATTATAACTTGCCTGAAGAAGCTGAAACAAAATATACTTGTCAGAAAAAATCACTACAATGATTAAATATAAAAGTAACAAATAAATGTAAAAACTCCATTAATTTATTCAGCGGAAAAAATTGAACTGATTAGAAAAATAAATATCAGCGATAATTAATTAATAATGATAAAATAGTAATAAACTTTATAAAACGAATTAAATTATGTAACTGCTAAAACTCATAATGTTAAAACAACGTGGATAATTAACCCCATAACAGTAAAACAATGTATTATATTTATAATCACAAAAAGAAAATTTTAAATATCTTTGAATTTAAAAAAAATATAAAAAGTACTAACCTTGAAACAATTTCTCAAACATTAAATTAAATCTAAAGGAAAAAATGTGTGATGATAAGAAAAAAAATGAGAAACCTAACCTAAAAAATGAGTAATACCGGTAGCCATATGAAAAAAGGCATTTTCCACGATAATTATGACAAAACTATAATGTGGTTGTGTATTATTTACCTCTGGAATAAAGACCTCTAATGATTCATCATACTGATCATCTTCACCATCATCTCCTGCTTTTCGCGACGTGAAAAAAAACTTTTTCACTTGCTCAGAGGCGACACCATCGGTCATCAGGCCGTAGTCCGTATTTCTATTGAGCCAAATACTTTCTTCTAAACCCGGCATTACTGACCATCAAAAACTGCGAGTTATTTATCTTTAATTATAGTCATATTTACTTTTATTTATTAATACTGGATTGCAACTAACTTTCAACAACCGTAATAAACATAAAAAAAAATATTTTCGTCCTTATAGGATCAGCCATTAAAACTGCACTACGCATGCGCATATAGTACTAATTTGACTTCTTTTATTGTATTACAAAAATTATTTAAAAAAAAACAATTGGTTTCGTAAAATACTTTACGGTTTATATACTTTACTTTATCTAAAATTTTTAATGATTTTATAAACAAAATGTAAGTTTAAGATTGAATCATTCTTTAGAAGTCATAATTAATTTGGACGTGTAAAGAATCATTGTTTTGACTCTCATTGTGAATTTAAATCTACATGAAGTTAAATGTTATTTTATTAATTTTCTGAGAAAGAAAACATTATTTTATAAGGTTTTTATTGTTATTTGGTTTAATTAATTTTAAATATTGTTAAATATCAGAAATAGGAATTAGCAGAAATACAATTTTGATTTTTGTATTCAATTACAAAACTTAAAATTCTGAAATTTTCGCGCTCTTTTTCAACAGAAAATAATGTAAAGATTATATAAGAAAAAGGGTATAATTATGCAAATTGTGTAATTTATTTTTTATACAAGTTCTTCTTTTATTTAATTATTTCAAATTCTGGGTCAACTTACATCCTTCTCTACCTTATCAATGAAAATTAAAAAAAAACCTAATACTTCATAATTCAGCCACTTGAGCGCTGTAAAAAAAACAATTAATCTCCATCTTTGACAATTCGATCAAAATAATATTTTCTCCTCATATCGAAAAAATGATTTGAGCTGTTAATTAAACAGTAACTGGATTAAATGTGATGTATTATTCAATTTAATAGTCGGATCAATAATTGGAAAAGATGATTACGTGATAAAAAAACAAGTGCCGTACTCTGTCGAATTAGTTAAAGGGGGAGGTAATGTTCCTGTGTGTTTGATGTCTTCTCGTAATCGACGATGGCAACATTTTATAATTATTTTTTTCCTACATATAATTAATAAAATCAAATGAGTCGTGTTAAAAGATCAAGTGTTATGATACATCATCGCACATTTTACAAATAGAGAATTGAAAATGGATTCATGGTTGTGTCCGAATAATTCTAGTCAAATTTGAAGCAATTTATTAGGACCACGGGTTTTGATTAAAGATGGAGGAAGATATTAAGGAGAGGATTCTGTCAAGAAGGCGTTCAGCGGCATTAAATGCATTTAAAGTCAAAGATGAACGACTTGCTACTGTTAAAAAGGTAATTATTAATTATTTATCACAAAATCAGAACATGTGCAAACATTTTTAAATAGTATTTCTATTCTGAAAAAAATTTTCCGGTTAATTGAAAATTATAATAAAATAAACAGAATTTTTCTAATTTTTACGTATTTTCTAGGTCACTGCTATATTACAAAAACCTGAAGATACTAGGTCAACTGAGGAGGAAGAAATTTTACTATCTTACAGTGATATTGTAAAAGAGGTTAAGTTGAGGTATGGCCATTTTGTCTGAAAATCACAGATTTCATTTTTTTTTTTCATTCTTTTTAACTTTTACTGTTTCACAATTAAGTGAAAATACTTGAATTAAAAAACTCCAACATTGATATGAATATTAAAAAAGTTAAAAATCAATGTCACATTTTTTCTAACCTAAAAATTAAAAAAAAAATATTCTAATTTTTGTATATTTTTATAATTACGATAGATATTTTGAATGGCAGTCGTATTATAAAGATTATATTATTTTTTAAATGTATATTTAGTTAAAAATTATAAATTTATTATTGACTTTTCTTTAAATTGTTCTTTTTTAAAATAATAAATGATTTTTCAGGCAGAAGAAAAGAGATAGAGTGAAAGCAAGGCAAGAGGAAGTTGAAGATGCACCTGAGGTTTTGGAGGAGAAATGTATGCGACTAGCAGCTGCTATTAGTCGAGCAACTTCCCTTGCAGTTTATACAGGTGCGGGTATTAGTACAGCAGCTTCAATACCAGATTACAGAGGTACTAATGGTGTTTGGACGAGAATGCAACAAGGAAAAGATATTGGGTACGTTTTGATACGTTTTAACAATAAAAATAGCGCTTTTCGTCATATTAAAGGAGGTATATAATTTTTCATTTTCCAGGAATCATGATTTGAGCCAAGCGGAGCCAACATTAACACACATGTCACTTTATTCACTCTACAAGGCGCGTGTTTTAAAGCACATAGTTTCACAAAATTGTGACGGTCTTCATCTACGTAGTGGAATTCCTCGAACATTACTGTCGGAAGTTCATGGCAACATGTACGTCGAGGTATGTAAAACCTGTAAACCTTCTCGAGAATATTGGCGACTATTTGACGTCACGGAAAAAACAGCAAGATACAATCATGGCACTGGTCGATTATGTCATAAATGTAATTCGACACTTCAAGATTCAATTGTTCATTTTGGTGAGAGGGGAAATTTATTATGGCCAATTAATTGGAGTGGCGCATCGAGAGCTGCTAAACAAGCTGACGTTATACTTTGTCTTGGTTCAAGTTTAAAAGTTTTAAAAAAATATCCCTGGCTTTGGCAAATGGATCGACCAATACATAAGCGACCTTCCCTTTATATTGTAAATTTACAATGGACACCAAAAGATGAGAATGCCGTTTTAAAAATTAACGGTAAATGTGATCAGGTCATGAAAAAAATAATGACACATTTAGGTATTGAAATTCCCGAATATAATCGTGCAAAAGATCCAATTTTTCATCATGCCATTAGATTACAAAGTGCTGAGCAATCGACGAGAACGCAACCGTTACTCGAGGAACCTGTTCTTATTGAAACAGAGGAGAGTTTCAGCGTTGTTGAAAATGTCGTCGAGGAAGTTGAGAAGCCAATTGTTAAAGTTGAAACAAAATCAGAGGCAGATTGTAATGAACAAATTACACTCACCGAACCAATGACCGCATATCCAGCGCCATTTTTTGCGGCATTACCATTTCTTTCCATGGGTTTGCCATTTCCTCCAATGTACATGTATCCGCAACTATCGCCATTTCTTTATTATCCGTTTATTCAAGTGCCGGCAATAATGACGGAAACAGCAAAACCAAAACCTGCATGCACATTTTGTATGGAGAATGAGGGTTCTCTTACGTGTTTATATTATCAACGTGATGGCGATGATCCAGTTACCACGGATTCTCTGCCACAAGAGGTGGAAACTGAAACGGAAAATGTCTCATCACTTGATCAAATTCAAGACGCTGAGGCAATGACATTAGACGTCAATACACCGGTATCAACCGCGAAAAATCCGGGCTGGTTCGGCAAGGGATATCGAAAGGGATTGAGAAAGAAACGGTAGCATTCAATTATTTTTTTCTTATCGCGTTTGACGTTTGTCATTTAACTCCCATTCGAAATCTTTCTCATTGATGAGCAAATTGTTCTGAATTAGAATAATGTTTCTTTTTTTCGTTTGCGAACAATTTTTTTTAACCGATCACACTTTTTCATTCTCAGCAAACAATTTATTTATTTCGTTATTTTTCATCAAAAAACAAGAAATCGGATGGAATAATATCTATTAAAATACAATTATTGTATGATAATAATCGAGTTATTTAATATTATAATTATTATTACGTTATTGTTCTTATAATTGATTATCAATTAAAAGGGTAATATTTTGTAAAGAATTTTAGAAAGTTTTTTACAGTCTACATTTGATAATTGATTGTTTGAACAATAGCTTCACAAAATATTATTTATTTATTTATTTAATAATAATTTTTTACGGGAGGTATTGGGTATAATAATAATAACAAACCAAAGTTTTATTGGTTTGAAAACGATCGTAGCTCAAAAAAAAAAAAAAAAAAAAAAAAATGAATAAATTGACTGACGAGATGAAAATGTTTATCGATTATTACACGAGTATTTAGCACTAGAATAGTTAATTTCTTCTTATTTTTCTATTTTTTACAAATATTTTTCTTCTCAACTTCTTGAAATTAAAACCTGAGATCAAACAAAATTCACTCAATTCTCAATTGAAATAGTGTTAGAAAGAGATTTTTCTAGTTGTACTATTTAAAAAATATATATTTTAATTCATTTTTCTAAAATTTGAAAAATTTTAGATTAATATTTTCTTTTTTGTTTTTCTTCATAATGTCTTCAATTGTTGAAAGAAGTACTCTGGCAATATTAATAATTAATATTTGTCGATAATGACTGGTCTGAACATCTTCCTCGAATTTATCTTGTGTGTGTGTGTGCGCGCGCGTGAGAAGAATTAATTAATTCAATTAATTAATTATTTGCTTCGACTGTTTATCTACATAATGATGTAGTAATCCTTGAGCTTTATAGAAAACTTATTTTTTTACGTTGCTGATAATCAAAATTGATTGCACTAATTTTTTTATATTGCTATATATACAATATACGACTTGAGTCAAACTTAGAATAAGCGTGACCTTTTTTATAATATACATATATAAAAAAAAAATTTGAACACAACAGTACTGACAATGAAAAATGGTACTGATTGTAATTTTAGAAATATTATTATTATTATTAATAATAATAATGAAAACTCTCACGTAGATAATAAGAAACTATAGCAATTGATATTTGAATATCTTATAACGTAAAAAAATTTATCTCGATACATTTATCTCTTTCGACAAAATTAGAACGCTTTTAGCGTAGATGGAAAATTTAATGAAACTTGAATCTTTTTGACTTCTTTAGAAGTTTTAAATGCTTTGAATTACAAAAGTGTTTTTCTTGTACTGTATTCGATGAATTTTAATGTATAGCATTAAAATTTACAACTATAAATGTACTTTATTAAAATACGAATTAGTTTCTGGTCAGCGTACAGACTAACCATTTTTAGTTATTTTTTACTTTATTTAGTAAATTTAAAAAGTGGACTTTTTTCAAAGTTTCGCATTAAATGAACCATAAGTGTGATAAAGAAATTTTTTATTAACACAGAGAAAAATTTGTTTGATTCAAACTTAATTTTCTATTTTATTAGAATAAAATTTGTTAAATACAAGCAAATATTTTAGAAGCTAATAAAATATATAATTTTTATAATTGAATCAAACAACAAACTTTCTTACCAAATATTTTTTTTTAGTTTCGTATTTTTTGAGTTTTTACTTTTTTTGTAACGGGAACAACATTTATTTCGTTTTTATTTTGTATTCTACTTTTTATTGTTTTATTATTGTTATACTCGAAATAAAGCCAGAAATTGTCATTTCAAACGTAAAATGTTTTTTTTACACGCAAAGTAAATTCTTTATTTAAGAAAGTATATTTGAATAAAACAAAAATTAACTTTTTGTTTTAAGAAATTTTTCTTATATAAACAGAATAATTTACTTTGTTTAAAAAAAATGTTTACTATTTTTGATTCACGAGACATTTCTTGCTTGATTGCTAAATTTATTTATAAATATGAAACGTGTGAGAATTATTTATGTAAATATTTTTATCTATACAACTTTTTTAGAATATAGATATAAAATTTTTCGCAGAAATTTAAGATTTCAAAACGTAAAAAATAATTTTTACCTGTTGTAAATATTATACTTTTTTTCTTTTTTCTTTTCTCAATTTGTAAAATTTTTCTGTACATTTTTATTTTGCTTTAATTTTTAAATACTCTTAGTGCTGTGAAGTTTTTATGGATTTTTTTTTGTAACTGAATTTGAATATTTTGCTTCAAATTAATTTATATTGTTTAATAAAATAATCTGCACAGCTGTTCAAGTTATATTAAACAAAAAGAAAAAAATAGTGAGCGTTTCGGCTTTTCTAAAATATTAAAAACTTATCAATTATTTAATAACACAATTATTAATGAATTAATAATTATGTATTAAAACTTAAAATGCTTACTACTTTTTTTTCTAAGAAATTTTACGCTAGAATTGATCAGGAAAAGTACTAGTTTCAATTAACTAATTGCATAATTAAAAAAAAATGTGTCATAATAATAATAATAGCTCTATAGTCACGTCGAAAGTTTTTAATTATTTAAATTTAATTAACTTAAACTTAATGGAAACCTTTTTCTGTTCAGTTCTATAAAGTATAATTTTTTAAGTCGAAAATTTACAATAATTTAATTGTAAACTAAAAATCGCAGATTTATATTATACAATAATTAAATATATATTTAATTTATATATACGTAATAACGTATATTGTTGTGTTAAAAAAAAGAAACGTTGTGAAAACTCTCATAAATCGTACGAACAAATAATGATGAAGCCAGCCGAGGCAATTTTGAAAAAAATTTATTTTGTTGATAGTGCTATATAAGAATTTTTTATTTATTTAAGTATATACATATTATATAAAAATATGTACCTATTAAAATAAAAATTGAAAAATGAAATAACAGAGCAGACTGAGCTCTGTTTCAAGAGCACGTAATGTCATGTATTGTTGTGTAGAATTATATTCAAACTGTGAGATTAAAAGTATACCTTGTGAATTCTAAAGGAAGTCTATTTCGATTAACTCTTTTAATATCCATACACAAATCCATAAATAAATTATGTATGTGAAGAGGCAGCATATATGCAATAATTATACTTGTCAATGAACTTTTAGTTGAAAATGCAATAATGTATTGAGAGCATCGCCAATACATGTTTAAAAACATCAATAATTTATTAATGTTTAAAAGTAGAACGGAATATTATTTATGAAGTTTGCTTTCTCACGTACATTGGAAATAGATCCATATTATGCCTATTACTGGAACATACTTTTTCTTCAATGTTGAGAAAGTTTTTTCAAAGCCAATATCACTTAATTGAAAAATAATTTTGCAAAAATGTAATTTTTGCTATTTTTTTATTTTATTATTTTTATTATTATACAATAATAATACAAGAAAAAAATATTTTGTACATTATAAAATATTTATTTCTTGTATTTTAAATAATCGATCTATTAAACTCTTAAGTGCCGATGGCAAAAATTTTACGAACAAAATCTTTCGCACTTAAAGGCACTTAAGGGATTAATGAATATAATATTCTGCAGATTATGAAAAGGCAATTTTAATTTCCATAGAATTTTTTAATTCCATTTTTTTCAGTTTTAATAAACAATTTACAAGTTTATTAAATTTGTTGAGGGTAAATTAAAGGACATTAAAATTTATTTTTTTCTTAATTTCAAAAGAAAGTATTCAATTACATCTGTTGCAAAAATATTCTTGACAAGTTTCTAATATATACTATATAAATAGAAAAAGAAAATGTAGAAATTTTGTAAAATTATTTCTGCATTTTAAATGATTTATTTTTATTTGAGATTTTTATAAATATAAAATGTATATACATATGTAAATATACAAAAAGTAATAATCTGCTGATGAATAATATATATAATTAATAACGACATATTTTTTTTATATTATATTTTTAATGATGGCATATTATTAATTCTCATCGCACTAATATAGAGATTGAGAGAAGAAAGGAACTACCGGAAACTTAATGTCGGAAATGCTGTCAATGTTTCTTGTCATCAGTAGCAGCGTGACCATGATCGCCACAACTAACGGGTGAGTACATCGATATATATTATTTGCATATGAACTTGATACATTATTCATTTACAAATGGAGAAAATTGATACATATATACGAAAAGTCGAGAGTCGAATACCATGTTTGGTATATTTCGATTAGATGATACTTTCTTGGAAATAGTTCAAGTTTTATTTTTTAAATTCTTTTTTTTTTTATTGAAAATAAACGATATAGTGAAAAATCAAGATAAAGACATTTAAAGTTTGCGAGATATATTAGACGAAAAAAAAAACATTTAAGACGATCACGAAACCTTTTAACTGCGTACAATCTTGTAAAAACTTCCTTCTTTAAAGATTATTGACAGGCTGGTCAATTGTTCGAAGCTTTGAAAATAAAAATCGAAACTAATGGTAGTTTTATAATTACAAATTGGTAGCTAACATTTTACTGATTGATATTATAAATTTTACAGATTGAAATCTTGAATTTAATTTTAGAGAATAATTTCAATAATTGCCAATTCTAAAAATGATTTTTAGAATATATTATAATTCTAAACAGTGATTTTTTTATTATTTATTTAAGGGCTATATGCCTGTTTATTACTAAAATAAATAAATAAAATTATACATTTTTTTACAATATTATATATATTATTGTGGATTAATTGAATTCGATAAATAACAAATATAATGACTTCAAATGTCATAATATTCAAAATAAATAAATTTTTTACAATATGGACACATCCTCGGGGGATTTAATAACATATGTATCTCGTGAGTGGTCTTTTCCTCTTTCTGCTTTTTGCATCCGGTTCACAATACTGTACTTTATTCCTCTAATTACTTAATATTTAAAACCACCAGACTCTAGATTCTCTCTGATTCTTGACCCCTTGTGCGCGCTTTTATGCATATATATAGTATATATGAAAGTCTGTTGCAAATAAAACCTTTTTAATTGTTGATGTTATCTAAAAGAAGTTATGAAGTGAAATTTACTGTTTATTAAACTTTAATCTTGTAAAATTAAGGGTAATATATTTATTTATTAATGAGGATAATTAAACTTTTGTATAAATAGCCTTTATCTCTTAATGAGTTTGTATTCAGTTTTTGTTTTCAGAGATTTCAAGTATAACAGTATATTAAATGGGGAAATTATTACGGATATATGAATTATAATAATTATTGTCGAAAAAAAATGCAAAGATTTTCCTTTTATTATTATTTTTAGATTATTTTTTTATTAGATAATTGAAAAGTTTTGTTTATTATCCTCATTCTTTATTTTTTTCTTGTTTTTTAATTCATTTAC